TAGTGCGTTTTCGTTGTGTTTTTGCCGCATTTTTATTCTGCCCAGTAACAAAAACATTTCCCCTTTAACAAAAAAACAAACAAAAAGAAACGCTGTAAAAACACAGCAAAAACCTGCGTGTATAAAGCGCTGAGCAAACTGTTGGCGCTATATAAATCCTGTATAATACTAATAATATAAATGCAAAGCGAAATGCAAAAAAGTATTCCAAAAACGGTTCAAAAGCAAACTGCATTGCAGGTCTTACAGCACAAGCTGGCATGGGCATCCCTAGGGTTAGTGTCACCCGGAGCGGTAACACTTGTTGTCACCCCTCCGACGATCTCTGCAGGATGGAGCGGATCTGCGGATTGAGCATAATGGATTGGAGTCCGATCCATTGTGCTCCCCAATCCGCAGATCTGATCCGTCGTGCGGGGAACGTCGGCTTGCAACCTATACGGGGTTAACTGATCTCTCCACAAGCTCCACGAAAAGGAAAGTTTTAAAGCAAGCCAACGATCCCCGCAAGATGGATTGGATCTGTGGATTGGGGAGCATAATGGATCCAACTCACCAGGTGAAAACCGAGGAAGAAAGAACCTAAAAAAAAGAAAACAAATGCAGCTGCCACATCTAATGATTAGTAAGCTGCAATATATTAAATTTTGTTTTTATTACAATTTTTATTTTTCAAATGTTAGCAATGTAAACACCTGTATTTGTTCTTTTATCAGTCTCTTGTAACCTATGCGGGGTTAACTGATCTCTCTACGAGCTTCACAAGCTTAAAACAAGTCGATGATCCCCGCAAGATGGATCGGATCTGAGGATTGGGGAGCATAATGGATCGGACTCCGATCCATTATGCTCAATCCCAGGGGCGGACTGACAACTCATGGGGCCCCTGGGCAATAGGGGATCATGGGGCCCCTGTGTCCTTGGCTAAACTCAAAAAAGCCTATGAAAAAGGTACCAGGGGCATCTCATGGGGCCCCCTACTGACCCCGGGCCCTCGGGCAGTGCCCGAGTTTCCAAATGGTCAGTCCGCCTCTGCTCAATGCGCAGATTTGATCCATCTTGCGGGGATCGTCAGCTTGGTTTAAAACTTTCCTTTTCGTGGAGCTCGTGGAGAGGGTCCGGTGTCACCCCGTGCGATAGGTGTCACCAAGTGCAGCGCTCACCCCCCGCACCTGCCTAGGGATGTCACTGGAAGCTGTTATTGCTATATTTGTTTTGAATGGGCTATTCATTTTTATCTTGTTTTTTTTCTTTTTTTTTTTTTCTTTTTTGGCTGTTCTGCTTTTAGCAGGTACTCTTTGTGATGTTAGTATCACATCTAACCTACGTAAAAGATGTTGACAGATAGACCTGACATGATTTTAAAATAAAAAACATTAAACCTGCTTGCCATGCAAGATTTAACACCTGTTAATGAATACGTCAATCAGGAATGTTCAGCGATGCATTGTAATCAGCCAGCAGTTATCTTTATTTAATTTTGGTGAAAGGTTACGTCTAGTTGCTTTCTGCTCTTTGCCCCGTGGACATGTGGTGGGGCTGCCATACGTCCAATAGGAGATGATGAAAACTGGAAGCCCTGATAGATGTCCAATGATTATTATTATACAGGATTTATATTGTGCCAACAGTTTGCGCAGCACTTTACAAAATGAAGGTAGACATTACAGTTACAATACAATTTGGTAGAAGAGGAAACAGAGGACCCGGCTCGTTAGAGCTTACAATCTAGGAGGAAGGGTTGAGTGATACAAAAGGTAATAGCTGTGGGGGGGATGAGCTGATGGAGGAAATAAATGGCGGTTTACTAGGTAGAAGCAGGATAGCCTTCTTTAACCTCCCTGGCGGTATTCCTGAGTGTAGCTCGGGGTAAAGTTTCAGTACCACAAGCGGTAACCCCGGGCTACACTCGGGCTTACCATGCGGCGATACTCCGCGATCCCTCGATCACTTACTTTGTCCTGCGGTCCCGCGATGTCCCTCCTGCAGTGTCCCCGGCAATGTCCTCCGGCGGATGCCGGCATCTGTCTTCTGGGTTCCGTCCCCTGCGAGCATCGGGACGTACGGGGGACGGAACGGCGGGAAATTTGAAAATGACAAAAAGTGACATTCACTAAAATCACTAAAATCACATAGTATAACATTCCTGTATTAAACCATTTCACATACATTTTGTCCCGAGTGCTTTGTCCGGCGCCCTGCCTACATTTTTACTGTTCTTTCTGCCTGGAAACTGAGAAATGTCCATGGCGTCCAAAAAGCGTCCCTTTAGGTCAAAAGCGGTTTTAGACCAGCTAGAGAACAGCGATAGTGAATTAGAACCACTTGCAGAATTGAGTGATAATGATTCGTGGGGGAAATTTGTCATCAGACACTGAAAACGATTTTGCGACTTTGCTCAGCGATGTGCGAACTTGACTTGGCTATATTTCAAATTTCAGTGTTTTTGGTTTGATTATATTATTAAATTAAATTTATTATTATTATATTATTATTTTTTATGATTATTTATTAAATTATAATTTATGATTTTGTGTTTCAAGTTTTATCATACCCGGGATGTTTACTAGACTCTTGTTCGGACAGATTTCAGTGAGTTATTCCTAAAAATTACAGGCCTACAGTAAAAAAAATACACGTTTCCATGCAAAAAAATGTACCGCTTTGAGCACAGAAATATGGACATAATCAGACTGGTAGGGAGGTTAAAGAGGTTTTCAGGGATCGTCTAAAGGTGGATAGATTAGGAGACAGCTGGACAGATTGGGGTAGGGAGTTCCATAGGATGGGAGAAGCTTGGGAGAAGTCCTGGAGGCGAGCATGGGAGGAGGTGACACAAGAACAATGATGAAGTGATCACTCACTAACGATCTTATAACATGTATAAATATTGACAGAATTTTTGTTATAAAACAAAAGGATTCTGCTGCATTGCAGAGTCATGTCCGCCGAACAAAGGCTCATTGCTCTTAGCCCTATCAAAGTACGCAGAATGTTTTATCTTCACTCATTGTACCCTGGAAGTTTTCATTTTCCATTGTAGATAGAAGAATATTGTTATATCAGCCTTGTTACAGTCTAATTATTATGTCTTCGGAAAGTAGCAACCTCCTTTTGTGCTGGCAAATACATAGTTCTTTATGATTTAATAAGTCGCCGAGACTGTAAGCAACATACTAAAAATAAAGATTTGGGGATTTATAGGGTTTTTTTTGCCTATTTCGTAAAGCCACCTGCAGCTGAAACTATTTGAGGCAAGAGACTCAATCATGTTAGCTACAGGAATTCTCCCTATATCCAGCATTACATGACACACTAGTGCATAAGCTGATTTTAGAAATACAAGAGAAGAAAAAGAGTAAGCATAGCTGCAAAGTCATGCTGTCATGAAATATACATGGATGCTGCCCAGGGGCGGAATGACCATTTGGAAACTCGGGCACTGCCCGAGGGCCCGGGGTCAGTAGGGGGCCCCATGAGATGCCCCTGGTACCTTTTTCATAGGCTTTTTTGAGTTTGGGCAAGGACACAGGGGCCCCATGATCCCCTATTGCCCAGGGGCCGCATGAGTTGTCAGTCCGCCCCTGATGCTGCCATAGCTAACCTGTCCTTCTGAAAATGTTAACGTGGTTGTAAACCTCAAACATGAAATAGGAACAAAGCATATCCCCAGGGCCGGGGTTTTCACTAGGCAAACTAGGCAGCTGCCTAGGGCGTACTGCCATCTAGTGGCGCCTGGGCGCAGCAGAGGCCAGCACTCTCTCTGTGTGGGATGTCGCCACGTTATGAACGATGCTTCTGCTGAGGGAGGAGAAGCAGAGAGGGGGAAGAAAGGATAGAGGAGGATGCTGAGTGTCTGGAGCCAGGGTAGCAGCTAAGCTGCTGTTCCTTTCAGTGTTCCTCTCAGACTCAGTCCCTTACTATAAGGCTGCTGGCACCTGCTGATCACTGGGGAGTTCCAGCCCTTCTCTTCCCATTCACCAGTGGAGGTGGAGCTGTGCCTGCAGAGGAAGGTAATGTCTGACTCTGATGTCTCGTGTCTATATGAGTGTGACCCGACCGGCCATCCATCACATGTGCAATGTGTCTATGAGTGATGACATCATCACAATCCCACAGCCTGCTCTTCTAGTGCCTGCTGGGCCTGCTTATCTGTGTCAGTGTTGGTGGTGGTGTGTTGTGTCGGATCTGTCACTGTGTGGGATCGCTCAGATTAGCTGCCTGCTGTCACATCATTTTATCTCCCCCCATTGCCTGGGGAATTCCAGCCTGGGATCTGTCAGTGTGTGGATCCATCCTCCTCCACTCATGGCAACTGTCACCCTGCCACTGCCAGCCACAGATACAGTCTGTCCATGACACTGATTTTGTCATTAATATTGGTGCTGGTATCATCTTATGGCGCTTATTTTTGCAAATTAAAAGAAATTTAGCAGTTTCAGTTTTTGTTGATTTAATATTTTCTACTGTTTTTAAAATGTTTTATTTATTTATTGGGGGGCGGAGATGTGCAGGTAGCTGGTTTTGCCTAGGGCCCTGTATTTCCCTCTATAGTGTGTGCTTGTCTCAATTAAAAGCATTCAGCATCATTTATGTCTGCTGCTTTGTTCCTCTGCTATTAGTATGAATCACTTCTGACAAGTATTACTGACATCAAGAGAAAAATGGTGACAGGGGAGGGACCTCCAGCCAGGGGTGGACTGTCAACTCATGAGGCCCCCGGGCAATAGGGGATCATGGGGCCCCCATGTCCTCGCCCATACCCAAAAAAGCCTATGAAAAAGTCAATGAAAGGTACCAGGGGCATCTCATGGAGCCCCATACTGACCCAGGGCCCTCGGGCAGTGCTCGAGTGCTCGAATGGTCAGTCCGCCCCTGCCTCCAGCAGAGTTACAGCTTCAGCTCTGTTACTGTGTGCTGTGTGGAAGGGGTGTGTATCTTCCCTACATCCTTCCTTTGGTGTACACACCATCTTTACTTCATCAGTTGAAGTTGGAAACATGTAATCAGAGTCAGAAGCATCCAATCAGATTCTAGATAAATTACTCTTTCCGTATGGCCTATGACAGTTTATTACTGCATTTGGTTTGCTATATACCGTATTTTTCGCTCCATAAGACGCACCTGACCATAAGACAGGTACAGGAGATGACCAGAGACTGCGGACACAGTACAGGAGATGACCAGAGACTGCGGACATAGTACAGGGGATGACCAGAGACTGCGGACATAGTACAGGAGATGATCAGAGACTGCGTATACAGTACAGGAGATGACCAGAGACTGCGGACATAGTACAGGAGATGACCAGAGACTGCGGACACAGTACAGGAAATGACCAGAGACTGCAGACACAGTACAGGGGATGACCAGAGACTGCGGACACAGTACAGGGGATGACCAGAGACTGCGGACACAGTACAGGGGATGACCAGAGACTGCGGACACAGTACAGGAGATGACCAGAGACTGCAGACACAGTACAGGGGATGACCAGAGACTGCGGACACAGTACAGGGGATGACCAGAGACTGCAGACTTAGTACAGGGGATGACCGGAGACTGTGAACGCAGTACAGGGAATTACCAGAGACTGTGGACATAGTACAGATGACCAGAGACTGCAGACAGTAAAATGAGATTACCAGAGACTGCGGACCTTTGGGGAGGGAGGGGGAGCGGGTACCTGAATTTGACAGGTACCCGCTCCCACTTCCGCGGAGTTGTCCTTCCTTCTTCTTCCCGCGCAGCTTCTGTGACAGCCGGGTGCCCACTGCGTATGTGCGAGAAGCGCTGCGCTTTGTGAATGGCCCGGAGCCTTCTGGGACCTGTCATGTGTCATGTGCTGGACCATTCACAAAGCGCAGCGCTTCTCGCGCATTTGCAGTGAGCACCCGGCTGTCACAGAAGCCGCCGCTGGAAGACTGCAGTGCTGGAGAGAGGATCAGGTAAGGCCCCGCAGGAGAGAAGAGCTGAGCGGCCGGCCCGATATTCTGACATGGTGGCGGCAGAAATACTGGACCAGCCGCTTTACATTCGCTCCATAAGACGCACTGACATTTTCCCCCCTTTTTTGGGGGGAAAAAGTGCGTCTTATGGAGCGAAAAATACGGTACTTTATGTATATGCATGTATTGCTCAAATGTTTTTCTGAAGTCTTGTGGGCTTCTTATTATCATTTCCCTAATTGTCTTAACTTTTATGTCCTCTTTCTTCCTAAAACCTAATATTGATTAACTACTTGCCGACCGCAGATAGCTGAATGACGTCTACACTGCGGCCGGCCAGTTCTGGGTGGGCGTCATATGACGTCCTCCCAGAACGCGCTCTCCTGTGCGCCCCCGGCGATCTCCGTGATCGCTGTGTCCTATGGACACAGCTGATCACGGGATGTGGTAAAAGGCCAATCACAGCGGCCTTTTACCACGTGATCAGCCGTGTCCCATGAAATGCAATTGCTGGTTCTCGGCTGCACTTTCCTCACGCTGTCAGATCGTGAGGAAAGTACTGCCGAGAACCGGCTGTTGTTAGAGCGGGGATCGGCACCAATCATCAGGGCACTGATGTTGAGTGCCCTGATGATCGGTGCCCAGCAGTGCCACCCACAAGTTCCGCCCACCTGTGCCCAGCAGTGCACCCACTAGCTCTCTGTGCCCACCTGTGCCCCCAGCAGTGTCACACACCTGTGCCCAGAAGTACCACCTAGCTGTGCCCAGCAGTGCCACCGACCTGTCCCCACCAGTGCCACCCACCAGTGCCCATCAGTGCAGCCCAGCAGTGCTGCCAGTCAGTGCCCAGTGGTTGTGCCAGTCAGTGCCCAGCAGTGCCGCAAGTCAGTGCCCAGCAGTGATGCCAGTCAGTGCCACCTATCAGTGCTGTCTATCAGTACCCATCATCAGTGTCGCCTATCAGTGCCGCCTATCCGTGCAACCTCATTAGTGCTGCCTATCAGTGCCGCCTATCCGTGCCACCTCATTTGTGCTGTCTATCAGTGCCCTTCAGTGCTGCCTATCAGTGCCCATCAGTGCTGCCTCATCAACGCACATCAGTGATGGAGAAAAATTACTTGTTTGAAAAATTTTATAATAGAAACAAAGAAACTTTTTTTTTTCACATTTTTTGCACTTTTTTTTTTATAGAGCAAAAAGTAAAGTGCCCAGCAGCGATTAAATACCACCAAAAGAAAGCTCTATTTGTGAGAAAAAAAATGATAAAAATTTCATATGGGTACAATCTTGCATGACCGCGCAATTGTCAATCAAATTGCGACAGCGCTGAAAGCTGAAAATTGGCCTGGTAAAGAAGGGGGTATAAGTGCCCTGTAGGCAAGTGGTTAATATTGCAAAAAGAGATCTACTCCTACTTTTCCCTTTGTAATCTACTTCCTGCCATGATAATGTCAGCTGCTCACAATCATTGCTTTGTACTGATATTTATTTTTACCTACTCATGTAAAACTCATAGGAACATATCTAAATGAAAGAGCAGACTTCTTGTCTTCAGTTCGAAAACATATCTGTCATCCACGGCTTCTGCATGCATGACACAGCTAAAATAGTGCCGCTCACCCTCATTGTGTCATAGCTTGCTACTGTAACACCCTCTTCTGTAGATTAACAATGAACATACTGGCATCACTCCAGTCAGTTCTGATCTCTGCTGTGCTATAAATCCGGCTTTCCTTTCTCTCATCAAGAGCTTCTCCACTCTGTCAATCTTTTCACCGGCTGCAATTTGCACTAAGAATACAGAACATTCAAACTCTAACTTGCAAAGTTGCCTCCAGCCTAGCTCTTCCTTGCATCTCCCAGATAATATCCATACACATCTCGAAGCTTATACTTTCCATCCTGAAACTTCATGTGCAATCTTATTTAATGCATGCCAGTCAGCTCTTTACATACTGATCTGGTTTAAAATATTTGTTTTAGTCATGCAAATATTGCCTGATCTTCCACATGCACACATTTACATTATGTACATATACTGTATACAGGCCTTTTTATTAGGTGGAACATGGTGGAACTCAGTTCCACCATCTCTGGCTCAAGCCCTCCACTACCCGCTCACCACTGTCCCTTGTAAACACAGAAGTCTGGCTTCTGTGTTTGCAAGTAATAGTTTGTCTCCCTGTGGCTCCCACAGATCTGATCTCCTGAGTGTAGGACAGGGACAATGGAGATGTTCCTGCACCTATTCTCTGAGTAAAAAAGACCTCTCTCTCTCTTTCTCTCTCTCTCTCTCTCTATATATATATATATATATCTATATCAGGGGCGGACTGACCATTCGAACACTTGGGCACTGTCTGAGGGCCCAGGGTCAATAGGGGACTCCATGAAATGCCCCTGGTACCATTTATAGGCTTTTTTGAGTGTAGGCAAGGAAACAGGGGCCCCATGATCCCCTATTGCCCGGGGGCCCCATGAGTTGTCAGTCCACCCCTGATATATACAGTGAGGAACAGAAGTATTTGAACACCCTGCGATTTTGCAAGTTCTCCCACTTGGAAATCATGGAGGGGTCTGAAATTCACATTGTAGGTGCATTCCCACTTTGAGAGACAGAATTGAAAAAAATATTCAGGAAATCACATTGTATGAATTTTAAAGAATGTATTTGTCTTGCACTGCTGAACATAAGTATTTGAACACCTGAGAAAATCAGTGTTAATATTTGGTACAGAAGCCTTTGTTTGCAATTACAGAGGTCAAATGTTTCCTGTAGTTCTTGACCAGGTTTGCACTGCAACAGGGATTTTGGCCCACTCCTCCACACAGATCTCCTCTAGATCTGTCAGGTTTAGGGGCTGTCGCTGAGCAACACTGAGTTTCAACTCCCTCCCAAGATGTTCTATTGGATTTAGGTCTGGAGACTGGCTAGGCCACTCAGAACCTTGATATGCTTCTTACGGAGCCACTCCTTGGTTATCCTGGCTATGTGCTTTGGGTCGTTGGCAGATACATTGATACCCATCTTCAATGCTCTGACTGAGGGAAGAGGTTGTTGCTCAAAATCGCACAATAAATGGCACCATTCATCCTCTCCTTAATACAGTGCAGTTGTCCTGTCCCCTTCGAGAAAAGCACCCCCACAGCATGATGTTACCACCCCCATGCTTCACGGTAGGGATGGTGTTCTTGGGATGCAACTCATCCTTCTTTTTCCTCCAAACATGACGAGTGAAGTTTAGATCAAAAAGTTCTACTTTGGTCTCATCTGACCACATGACTTTCTCCCATGCCTCTTCTGGGTCATCCAGATGGTCATTGGCAAACTTCAGACGGGCCTGGACATGTGATGACTTGAGCAGGGAACCACCAGTGCAATGCATGATTTGAAACCATGACGGTGTAGTGTTCTACCGACAGTGACCTTTGAAACTGTGGTCCCAGCTCTCTTCATGTCATTGAACAGCTCCTCCCTTGTAGTTCTGGGCTGATTCCTCACCTTTCTTATCATCAGTGATACCCCACGAGGTGAGATCTTGCATGGAGCCACAGTCCGAGGGAGAATGACAGTCATCTTTAGCCTCTTCCATTTTCTAACAATTGCTCCAACAGTTGATCTATTTTCACCAAGCTGCTTGGCAATTGCCCCGTAGCCCTTTCCAGCCTTGTGCAGGTCCACAATTTTGTCTCTGGTGTCTTTTGACAGCTGGTCTTGCCCATGGTAGTAGTTGGTGTCTGACTGACTGTGGGGTGGACAGGTGTCTTTAAAGAGCTCAGACAGGTGCTACTAAGTTAGATTAATGAGTGGAGTAGAGGTGAACTTTTTAAAGGCACAGTAACAGGTCTTTGAGAGCCAGATTTCTTGCTGTTTCTTAGGTGTTCAAATACTTATGTCAGCAGTGCAAGACAAATAAATTCTTTAAAAATCATACAATGTGATTTCCTGAATTTTTTTTTTAATTCTGTCTCTCAGAGTGGGAATGCACCTACAATGTGAATTTCAGACCCCTCCATGATTTCTAAGTGGGAGAACTTGCAAAATCGCAGGATGTTCAAATACTTCTGTTTTCCTCACTGTATATGTATATATATATATATATATATATATATATATATATATATATATATATATATATATATATAAAATTATTATAATGTCTCTGTTCTCTTGATTTAGATATACAATCTATCCTTATAAATAAATTGCTTGTTGAAGCTGGCAGTCACCCATAGTTCCTTGTTGGTAGTCATGATATGTAGGCTCATAGAACCTCTGTAGTATTGTTACCACTGTCCACATGCAGTCCTTCATCACTGACCTGGATGGGAAGTCCTAAAATTATTCTTATAATAAATTGCTTATTAAAGTTAGCAGTCACCCTTGTTGGTGGCCACAATCTGTGGAAACACAGTCCTTTTTTCAAATGCACACCACCACAACGCAGTGGTAGGAACTGACACCATAGGAAACAAGGCAAACTGCTTTGTAATTGCAATGAGACTATACTGGCAATCCCAACACAAAAGTAATGCCCGTAGCGAAAAAAAGGAAAGGAAAATTAGCG